TAGGGTCCGACCCTCTGTTCGGCTGCGAGGGCAAGTAGATTTCTATAGCAGGGATGTACGGGATTTCTGGCTTATATCTTGGATACAAGGGTTGAGACCACGTCAGATGTGGGAAGTGAGCCGGTTGTATAGGAATTTCGGGATGTTTTTCCTGAAGAGTTACCAGGAGTGCCTCCGGAGAGTCAGGTTGAGTTCCGCACTGATTTGGTGGCGGGTGCCACTTCGATAGCGATGACACCATACCGACTAGCACCACCCGATATGCTGGAACTATCTATGTAGCTTTAGGAGCTGCTAGACCGAGGGTTGATCTATCTGAGTAGTTCCCCGTGGGGAGCTCCGATCCTGTTCGTGAAAAAGAAGGATGTATCACACAGGATGTACATTATCAAGAGTTGAACAGACTAGTGGTGAAGAACCATTATCCGCTACCGAGGATCGATGATTTTCTCAATTAGCTAAAGGATGCCTCTTGGTTTTCCAAGATTGATATTCGGTCGGGATACCATTAGATGAGGATTCAGGATGAGGACATACTGAAGACAGCTTTTAGGACTCGGTATGGGCATTATGAGTTTGTGGTGATGCCATTTGGGCTCACCAATACCCCATCAACATTCATGGATCTCATGAACAGGGTGTATAAACCGATGTTGGGTCGATCGGTGATCTTTTTTATTGATGATATTCTGGTCTACTCTAAGACCAAGGAGCAACACAAGCAACATTTAAGGGAAGTATTGGAGACCTTGAGGGTAGAGAGGCTATTTGCCAAGTTCTCAAAGTGTGATTTTTAGCTATGAGAGGTACAATTTTTGGGGCACATCATCAACCAGGAGGGTAATTCGGTTGATCCAACTAAGGTTGAAGCAGTGATGCAGTGGGAAGTACCGAAGAATGCTTCCAATATTCATCGCTTCTTGGGTCTAGTGATCTATTATCGAAGATTCATCCAGGATTTCTCCAAGATTGTTGTGCCCTTGACCCACTTTACCAAGAAGAATGTGACATTTCGATGGGGTACGTATCAATAGTTGGCATTTGAGACCCTAAGACGGAGGCTACGCGAGGCTCTGAGTCTAGTACTACCTTAGGGGTTAGATGATTTGGTGGTGTACTATGACACATCAATTTTAGGGTTGGGTGTGGTACTGATGCAGAGGATGCATGTAATAGCTTACACTTCGAGGCAGTTGAAGCCTCAAGAGGCGAACTACCACTCATGACCTGGAATTGGGGGCAGTGATGTTTGCCTTCAAGATTTGGAGGCATTACTTGTATGGAGTGAGGTGCACCATCTATATTGATCACAAGAGTTTGAAGTATTTGATGGATTAGCATAACCTCAACATCCGACAGAGGAGGTGGTTGGACCTGTTGAAGGACTATGATTGTGAGATCCTATACCATCCTGGGAAGGCCAATGTGGTGGCTGATACTTTAAGTCGCAAGGCGGTAGGTTCCCTGATTGGGAATGTTTCTTTGAGGATGACCGTGATCTCTCCATTGTTGGATATGATAAAGGAGGCTCATGTCGATGGGGTGAAGAAGGAGAATTGGAAGATAGAGCAGATTCGGGGATAGTATCCTTTGTTTGTTAGGATAGTCGTGGCCTTTTGACAAAGTGTGGTTGGGTATAGGTACCGGTGACTAGAGGGGTGAGGCAAAAGATATTGGAGGAGGCACATAAGTCCAAGTTCTCTATACATCCTGGGGCTACAAAAATGTAAAGAGATTTGAGACTAAGTTACTGGTGGCCCTGCATGAAGCGGGAGATCGCCTGGTTTGTGGAGCGGTGCTTGACCTGTAGGAAGGTCAAGGCCGATCATCAGTGGCCTCATGGCAAGGTTCAGCCTCTACCCCATTCCCATGTGGAAGTGGGAAGATATCAATATGGACTTCATCATGAAGTTGCCGAGGATAGAGAGAGGTGTGGATGTCATATGGATGATCGTTGATAGATTGACGAAGAGTGCCTACTTCATTCCGATTTTTGAGAATATATCCGCTGAGAAGTTGGCAGATATTTATGTGCGAGAGGTGGTGGCTAGACATGGGGTGCCAATGTCGGGTAGTCTCTGACAGGGATGTTCGATTTACATCAAGATTCTGGAAGAAGTTCCACGAGGAACTGGGCACTCAGCTGCATTTTAGTACGACGTACCACCCCCATACAGATGGCCAGAGTGAGAGGACGATCCAGACACTTGAGGATATGTTGTGATCATGTGTGTTGGATTTTAGAGGGATTTGGGATACATACCTCCCATTGGCAGAGTTTTCGTACAACAACAGTTACCATGCCAGTATCGACCGACCTCCATTCGAGATGTTGTAATGTAGGAGATGAAGGACCCCAGTTTGTTGGGACAAGGTTGGATACCGGGTCATGGGGAGCACTGAGGTATTGCTCAAGACTACCGAACTAATTCAACAGGTACGCGACCGGCTACGGATCGCGCAGACCCATCAGAAAAGTTATGATGACCGGCGGCGATCAGATCTTGAGTTCCAGGTGGGGGATTTCGTGTTACTCAAGGTGTCTCCCTGGAAAGGGTTCATCAGGTTTCGAAAGAGGGGCAAGCTAGGACCCCAATATATAGGCCCATTCAGGATTACGGCCCAAGCGGGCAAGGTGGCATAGCGCTTGGATCTGCCGGATGAGCTTAGCTAGATTCACAACACCTTCCATGTGTCACAACTTTGGAAGTGTGTCACTGATGAGTCCGAAGTCGTTTCTTTGGATGACATTTAGGTGGATGAGAGCCTAAATTATATTGAGAAGCCTATCGCGATTTTGGATAGGAGGACCAAGGGTCTTCCGAACAAGGAAGTGAAGCTTATAAAGGTGCAATGACAACACTGAAGGGGCTCCGAATGGACATGGGAGCCGGAGGAGGAGATGTGGGAGCATTACCCCAATCTGTTTGCATCTACGAACTTCGAGGATGAATTCTAATTCAAGTGGGGGAGAGTTGTAACACTTAAAACCATATATTTCCTTTGAAGCCCTTGAAAATTTAAAATGTTGCATAGAAGTCCCTTAAGTACACTGGCGTACTCATAAGTATGCTTAGCGTACTATGTAATAATGATCGCAGAGGGGCAACACATACGTTAGGCGTACCAAAAGTACACTGGGCGTACGTGGCGGATGTCCAAACCCTAATTTTTGGACTTGGACCCTATATAAGAATCCTTATCTCATTTGAGCCTCACCCTAATCAGCCTCTTTCACCTTCAAACATCTTTGAAAACCCTAAAACCATTAGAGAGTGTGTTTTGAGCTTAAGGAGTGCATTTGTAGCCATTTTAGTGTCCATTCAAGAAGAAGGAGTTGTCAAGCAAGCTTGGAGTGGCATTGGGTTTCAAGAATCCATATATAGTTCACCTTGAGGATCTTCTAGAGGTATAAAACTCTTATCTTGCCTTATTATTCTTTAGATCTAGTTAGGGTTTTCTTTATGGTCCCTTTTGGTGGTTTTGGACCTCCTTTTGAGAGTTGAGTAACTCCAGAGGCTGAAATGGTTAGATCAGACCCTTGTGAGCATTCTAGATGCATAAAGGTGTTAGCTTAAGGATTATCTAGACTCCATGCAAGAGTTTGGAGCCTTATATGAAGCCCTAATGTGAAGGATGAAGTTTTTAAGTCCCATAGAGCATGCAAGGGCATAAAGTTTCCAACTTTATGCCCTGGGACGTCTTAATGAGCTCAGATCTGGTTTTGGACGTAAGAACATCGAGTATTAAGCACTTAATGGAAGAAAGTGCTTAATCTGTTTGTACGCTAGACGTAAGTTAGTGTACACCGCACGTACTGCTCAGGGAGTGGATACACTACGTGTACCAGGGTGGTTCGCCATGCGTACACACAATAGATGGACTTAGACTTATTTTGGGCCTTTGAGCCTTTGGGCCTCAATTAGTCACTGGGTCTGGTCACGATTTAGGATTAGTGGGCCAGTTTATCTGTTTTGGGCCATGGATGTTATGGTTGGGCTTTATTGGGCCATGAGGCCCATTAATGATTTTGGATATGGACTTTGGCCCCATTAACTAAAGAAGACTTTTGGGCTATTGTGAAAGGACTTGGGGATTTGGGTTCTCCACTTAGATGGGATTTGACCCTAATATTAAGTAATGTTATTATTATTCAGCGTGGGTGGTTACTGACTGTTAGGAGAGCAACTTTCGAATTCTTCAGACATATGCGAGTCTTCTCACCATACCAATGGGTCTAAGGCACCAATGACGACTTATTTTCTGATATGTGATACACTAGCTGTAGTATAGATGTGCCGTATGATAGTTAGCTTTATGCTAAGTAGTATGCTAGTGATTATGTGATATTTGCATGGAAGACCCCGGGAGGAGCCCATGGCAGTTGGATATAAGACCATGTGGGGAACCCATGGGATGATGGTATAAGACCCTAGGGGGAGCCCACACCATCCTTATATGTTTATGTATGTGTTATGTAGTATGATAGATACTTCTGTGATATATGATATGCTAGTTGGTTATATATGTTATTACATGGAAGACCCCGAGGGGAGCCCGTGACAGTTGGATATAAGACCATGTGAGGGAGCCCATGATATTCCTAGAAAAAGACCATGTAAGGGAGCCCATGACATGAAGGTATAAGACCCTGAGGCTCCACAATAAACCTACATGCTCGGAACCGAATCGAGACAGATCAAATATAATATGTCTGAAAGAAAGAAAAAGAGACCATCTTCCTCGCTCATCGATTTTAGAGAGATAAAGAGTGTTGTAGGAGTTGTAGCATGTGTTAAAACATTTCCACCTCATATTTTTATGGAGACCTAAGCATAATATAATGATATGGAGTGGTGATGTGTTTAGAAGGTAAATATATTTTTTCTTAAATTAAATATATTTTTATTGAACTATTTAAATAAAATAAAACATGAAAAGAATACAAGTTGCTAAAGCTAGAAGTACAAATGTTTGAAGTTGAAATACTTAAATGGGGACACTTCTCTTTCCTCTCGCTAGGCAAACAGCTGCTCACTCTTAGGGAGTGGAAATGTTTAGCGAGGGAGGGAACCAGCTGCTGGAAGTAAGAGTTTATGTTCTTCTGTACACTTCTCAACAACCCCCAAATATGCTTTCACTTGGATCACTGTCTCGAAATCGTCGATTTTAGTCTCAAATTACCTGATTCTCGACCTTGTTTGTGTTGTAACGGTAATACAGCTTTTGATTCACCGAAAACCATTGAAATTCGCAGTTATTGTTTTTGCATTGTTGGGGAAATTTGAAGTTGTTTCATGCAGTAGTGTTTTTAGGGTTTGAGTCCGTGTTTTTTTTTTTTTTTTTCCCTCTGAGTTGTTGATTTAGGCTTTAGAGTTCGTTTACAATCTGTAATTTCAGTTCTATATGTTTACTAGGATTGTGTTGTTATTAGGGTTTAAGTATGTGCTTATGTTGTACTTTGGTTTCGTTAAATATTCCTTCTTCCTTTATGATTTCCCTCCCTGAAGTACATAGGTTAACTGATGGTCACTGAATGTCAAGCGCTCACATCTGCATACGAAAACTACAAAAGCGTACTCGCGTCATCCGCTATAAAAGAAGATCATTTAGTGAAATCCCCATTTTACCCTCCTCTTCAAGACCCTTCTCAGCTTCATAAAAATAGTTCATTTGTCCAGATGAATTTAGCAAACACAAGTCAATATGGAACCAATTCAGTTGGTGTTAATCAAGATTCAATTATTTCTAAATCAAAAAAACGTAAATTTCCTACTTATGAGCTTCTCCCTTGGCATAAAGAAGCAACACAAGGTTCTAGAAGAATCCATGATACAAGGTATATGTTTAATATATATTGGCAAACTACAAAACACTTCAAAGATTTTTTTTTCTTGACAATTTTGCCCTTGCAGCATTACGGAAGTGGAATGGGGAGAGGCTGGAAATCGGGTACCTGAACAGGTGTGTTTTTGTGGTTGACCAGAGAGTTGACTTTTATTTTTGGTGTATTTGGTTCTAATTTGTAAATGGTTGTTTTTATTATATTATGTTAACAGATGAAAGAAGGTCAAGGGGGTGAAAGTGAAACATTAAAGAGAAGAATTATTTTAACAACACAACTTATGCAAGTTTTATTTAGGCCTACACCTTTTAAACTTCTTTTGGATGATGCTTTGGAATGTTATGAAATGGTGACATACTTTGCTGCTAGATTAGCACTCGGCGATGCATGTACTTTGGCAAATCATCCTCATCATATTTCTGACACGTAAGAATCAATTTAATTTAAAATTTGTTATGAATGTGAAATCTTGAAAAGTTGATTTTTTTTGCTGATGTGGCAAATCCAGGTCAGCAGGGAAAAAGGTTGTATCCAAGGGTAGTGGTGATCAGAATCTTTCAAAGGTTGTGGAAGATTTCATTGATCGATCAAAAAAGATAGAAGATGTGCTTTTGAGGTACTATAAACTCAATCCACCTTTTTTTTTATTAAGTGCTATTTTTACATCAAAACAAATAAATAATACCCTTTGATAACTTTAATTGAAGTTATTTGATAATATTATAAGGTCAAATGGACAGATTCTAAAACTTTGTTTTTGTTTGATTGGAAAAAATAAATTACAAGTAGTTAAACGTCAAAACGCAAGACAGCCCAAAATACAATGGTTTTTGTGTAATTTGTTAAAATAAAAGAATTTAAAAAGTTGTAACATTTGATTTTCACTTTTAGTTTTTCCCATTTGACCTTTTCCTTTTTTGGGTAAATTGTTTTATTTTATTCCATTTGACCTAAATACTTTTTTAGTAAAAGATATATAACTCAAATCAACCCACTTTCAGTTTCAGATTCTCCCATTTGACCTTTTTCTGTTTTAGATAAATATTTTAGGTTTTTCCCACTTGACGTTTTCCTTTATTAGGTAATATGACTTTTTATCAAATCAACCCGCTTTTAGTTCTTTTTTACCATTTGACCTTTTATCCATAAATAAAATACAACTGAAAAGGTGTCAAAATTGGTTATAAATTACATCAATTTCATGTTGTAATTCTGTTTTCATTTGTTTATAATATGGAAATGAAGGTTGGAGAATGGAGGATCAGTTCTTGAAATAAGAATGGAATCCCAAGATTTAGAGAGGTTTTCAGTCATCAACCGATTTGCCAAGTTTCATAGCCGGGCACATATGGCGGCGGCACCAGCTGACACAACCACCAGCACCGGGGTCTCTAAGCTATATCCTCAAAGATATGTGGCAGCTAGTCCTATGCCTAGGATAGTACCCAAAGGGCATAATTGTCTTTCACTATGATTGTTAAATTTACAAGTGTTTTTTTTTTTTTTAAAGGGTTATTTTGCTCATTTGGTTGTCTAACTTCACTTTTGGTTCATGTTTTTGAACGGAAAGCCAACTGATGTCAATTTTGACTAAGTATATATATCTTACTTTTGTACATGTCAATCAAACAAACAATCAGTATAAATAATCTAATGCATGTCAAACACACAATATATAATCTCTTAAAGATTATAGATGCTTGTGTGGTTATTAAAAGAATTGAGTAGAGGTTATGAGTTTTGTTTTTTTTTTGGTTGTTTGGTAGTATGCTATGATGCTTAGGAAATTTGAAATTTGGAATTTGGAAAAACGAATGGTCAAAGTCAAACTAGTATAGGAAGTGGATTTTGTAGATAATGTTTTGAACTCTTGTGAAATAGGGGTAATTCTGTCATTTCGGTTGGTCCTTGTCACATTGTGTGTTTAACTTTGTACTATTTCATTATGGATTGAATTTTACATGAATTTTTTCATTTTAGTAAGTGTTGAAATTTGCAAAGTAAATTTTAAAGGTAAGTTTGAAAATTTGGACTTACTTATTTAGGGTATGGTGTGAGTTTTTATGAGGTTGATTTGTCTACAAAGATAAGCCTTTTCCTAAAAAAAAGAAAGTGCATTTAATGGGTAAGCAAATAAATTTCAAATCCTTCAAAAGAACATAATATAATTGTTTCTTTGAGTTAGGTGAGCATGGTTTTATCAAGATATAAACTCATTCTTATCCAAACCACCTAATTATCACATGTATATTATATAGTCAAATACTGTTATATAGTTTCCTAGATTATCTCATTTATTAGCTGTAATATGTATTATATAAACAACCTTATATCCTCTGTAATCACAATCAATTTGCAATCAATATAATTGTACGTATTCTTTATATGGTATCAGAGACTGGTGATACCAAATTCTCTCCTCCTATCACACCTGCAAATTCCTCTCCTTTTTCACCCACACAAAATCAATGGCTGGAGATACCAACTCTTCTCTCGTCACCAACATCCTTGCAAAAGACAACATTATTGTTGTTAACTTTCCCTCAACACTCAAACTCACCTCTACCAATTACCTAGGTTGGAAAACTCAGATCGAAGCCGTGCTACAGGGACTTAATCTTTACCGAATTATTGATGGAACTAACCTGGCGCTAGAACCGACTATTGCTGAAGATGGATCAGTCACTCCTTATAAAGACTACTCACAGTGGTTTCTTCAAGATCGCCTTCTGTTTGGAGCACTGGTAGGAACCCTTTCCCCACAAATTGTTCCCCTAATCACAAATGCCTCTTCATCATACGAAGCGTGGCAAACCCTAGCCAGTACCTACGCATCACCATCACGGGGGCACATCAAACAACTTCAATATCGACTGAAGAAAATCACCAAAACCTCAGATCAAAACATCAAGGAGTACATGCATAATGTCAAAACGGTGGTGGATGGACTAGCGATACTTGGAAAGAAACTTGATTTGGAAGACATTGTTGATGTTGTTCTCAACGGATTGGATCAATCAACTTACAAACCTATAATAGATCCTGTTCATGCAAGAGATTCTACCATCACTTTCAACGAATTGCATGAAAATTTGATCAACCATGAACTTGATGGGTTTTGAGCATTCTAACACTTTCTAAGTGTACATGTAACCCTAATAAACTTTGGATCTATGTTTGTCTAAATACATGCAAAATTTGGTTTCCAAGGTTCATAATCCTATCTAGCATACATGGGAACTTTAATCCTAAAAGGATAGCTAGAAACATATACATAGTTGATTTTGATTCCTTGAAACCTTGTGAGCCTAGCACCCCAAGTGTGATGCCTCACATGCTTCACACAACACCAAATGCCTTTGGAATGACCTTTGAGAGAATGCACACACTCTAAAATTGGCCTAGCCCTCACTTCTCTTTGTGTAGCCGATTTTGGTGGAGAACATGTTCTTTATATAGTGTTGACACATCTAGGGTTACACCATGAGCCATGGGTTTGTAACTCCCATGGAGCATCCTATGGGTTTAACCCAACTTGATAATCTATGGAGCCTCTTAGCCCACTATACAAGTTTTGGACGATTTACATAATCAACCCATATATTTAATTAGTTATCTTTTGATCACTTAATTAATTCTAAATTAATTCTTGATCAAACTAAGTAAATAATACTATTAATATATTAGAACTTATAATATATTAATAAACCACAAGTGTTATTTCTCTCATTTAGTCTATCCAATTGCATGGTGCCATGTAACTCAAATGGACCATGCCGGGTCGGGTCAAGTACATATCAGAAATAGTTATGGACTTAGACACCTTATCCAGCAATCTCCCACTTGGATAAGTCTAATAACTATAACTGCAAGTATGACTTCAGGAACCGATCATCAATCGTAGCTCTTTCAAGGTTTCTTGGAACTGTGAAGATGATGATACGCCATTTAATATAAGTGATCATATAATCCTCTATTCTAGATATCAGCCGGACAAATACATGGAACAATGTCTTACTTATTGTCCAGCAGTTTGTTTCTCGATTTCCGATATGTTTGACAAAGAACTTAGTTGAACACATCAACTTAGTTCTGACTGGGCCCGATACATGGGTCAAAAGAAAATCATCGAAGGGCCCAGATATCAGCTTCTAATCAAAGATTGAACAGATAAACTTTGAATCATATGTTTGTTCTACCACTCATTGAATTATACACAAAAGCACGTTTTATAACATCGAGTTACCAATGCGTTTGCGTACAGCCAATGCATAACCAACTCATAAGTAACAAATCATATCTCTAGGTTTGAAGACTTATATGATATTACCGTCTCATGATCACTCGAGATAAATTCCATGAAGTGATTCTAGTGAGCGTGGGTTGAGTCCAATGCTCAAACCTTATGACCACTCATGATTGTTGTAGCCATGTCCAACACCTTAAACCTTTGCAACCAATCATGATAGTCTTGATTCATACCTACTTCCGACATATGACCGACTGTGGAGGTTTGAATAATATGATATACCAAACATAATTATTCTGGAAGTCAAAACATGCAAATAAAATATAGTAAACGATCGACAAGAGATATCAACACTTTACTCATAAATAAAACACCTTTTATTCATCATCTAATGTCAATTACACTTTACAAATTTCGTGGTTATCTAACTACTAAATCTAATATCATCCTTCAGCCCTATGCTCCGAGCATGCTGGAGATGCTTAACCCGATTCAGTCCCTTCGTGAGGGGATCTGCAGGATTCTCATCCGATGATACACTCTTTGCCACGAGGAGTCCTTCTTCTATTCGATGTTTGATGAAATGGTATTTTCTGTCGATGTGTCTGGATCTCCCGTGATCCCTTGGTTCCTTGGCTAAGGAAACAACACTTTCACTATCATAAAAAATTTCCATTGGCTCCTTAATAGTTGGTACAACTCCAAGGTCTCCAATGAAGTTCTTCAGCCATATCGCCTCCTTCGCTACCTCGCTCGCTACTATATACTCTGATTCGCAAGTTGAATCAGCCACTGTTTCTTGCTTGGAACTCTTCCAAGAAATTGCTCCTCTGTTTAAGGTAAAGACCCAGCCTGACTGATAGAGGAAATTATCCCTATCAGTCTGAAAGCTAGCATCAATATACCCTACAACTCTCAAGTCATCAGTCCCACCGAGGGTAAGGACCCAGTCCTTAGTCCTCCGTAGGTACTTGAGGATATTCTTTAACGCAGTCTAGTGTGCCTTGCCAGGGTTCCCTTAATACCTGCTAACCATGCTCAAGGCAAAGGCTACATCAGGTCGAGTACACGTCCTAACCTACATGATCGATCCTACAGCCGGCACATAAGGTATTCGACTCATTTATGCTATCTCAGCCTCAGTACTAAGGCTTTGTGTCTTACTCAATCTGGTGTTACTCTGGATGGGTAACTCTCCTTTTTTTGGAGTCCTGCATGTTGAATCTCTTCAGCACCTTATCCAAGTAGGTACTCTGACTATGTCCAATTAGTCTTTTACTCCGGTCTCTCAAGATCATTATCCCTAGAATATAGGCAGCTTCTCCTAGGTCCTTCATAGAGAAACACTTCCCAAGCTAGGACTTAACTTCCTGCAGAGTTGGGATGTCATTTTTTGTAACAACCCGTTATTTCAAGTCAGTAAAAATCGAGTCCTGTAACCTCTTTGAGAAAGGAAATAGAATATCATCGAAAAATGAAGTATTCAAAAACTCTATTTGGAGTACACTATGTGGTAGTTATCGTCTTAAGGTTTCCAAACATATAAATAACACAAAAATCCGAGTTATAACGAAGAAGTTATGCTCATTCTAAGTTTTCCGACAAAAACCACCAATACGAAGTTGCGTAAAAACGCAAAGTTTCAATAAAACACTTTCCGACCTTAGGTGTCTAAATGAAAGTCGTAGATATAGTTAAACTACAAACATGCATAAAAAAACGCTCAAATCGGACATCGTATGAATAAGTTATGAATTTTTAAAGAAATTCCTTAATCACGTCATTTTAATAAATAAATAATAAAAATAATTCCGGAATTTGCCAACAGAATCTAAATGAAAGTTGTAGATCGTAGTCTCACCTTCGCGGGGATATAAAGAACGTCAAAAACGGAGTTCGTATGAAGGAGATATGAATTTTCGAAGTTTGATAATTAATTTATATATATTTTTATTAAAACTTCGGTATTATCCGAAGGGGAGTCAGCGTCCTCATCCGAGGTACGCGCTACGTACCCCTGTACGCCCCGCGTACATGAGGAACTTGGCCTCAAACCGTCCACGTCACCCTATGCGAGGCACCCGACCCGCCCGTCCGACCCGCCGTCCCATCCGACCCGACTGCTTGAGCCGTCCCATCCGAGGCGGCCGAGGCAGTCGAGGCTTCGGTCACGCATGACGTACGCGTACGCGCTGCGTATGAGCGTACGCCCTGCGTACGAGGCCTCTCAGGCCCCCTATAAATAGCATGCGAGGGTTCCCGGGAAAATGGCCCATTCTCTCTCCTTTTTCTTGCGTTTTACCTCGTTTTCCGTGCTCGCACTACCCCGAAGCCCTGGTCATTTTGT